ATCTGTTGGGTAAGGTTTTGTCAGTTTTCTTTTGGAGCCACAAATTTACCCAAGCTTCAGATTCTCATCTATTTTCAGTAGAGCTCTCAGTTTAGTTTACTCCAATTGCAAAAATAGTCCTACTCTGTATATATTTAGGGCAACAAAGTCTGAATGCAAATTTACAGCAATCCAACCAACGGTGAGTCATGGAGCTCAGTCTCCACCTCTTCTAAACAGTCCAGCAGCCCTTCCTGTTGCAGCCAAGATGCCGCTCATTTCTCTGGAAGCAGCTACTCCCTCCTTCCTTAAGGCTCTCGCCCTACCATCTTTATCTTTCCACTCATACAAGATAGAAGCAGCCAGGCAGGGACTTTCTCCAGTTACTCTCCAGTGAAATCTCCACAAGTACATCATCTGCAGTGTGACCTCTCCAGTGTCAAGGCCTGAGGTGATCCTAGACCTCTTCCAAGACAAACCATTGCGGGTGTGCTATCCTGGTCCATCTCTTCAGTACTTCACAACTTTGACTATTGCTACTTCTCTGTCGTCAGCCTTTCTACTACATCAGTCCTCTCAGTATTGATTCACTTTCAAGTACTTCCCAACCTAAAAACAAACACACACCATAAACCTTGGACATACATCCTGAGTTCAACTTCATTTCGTGGCTAAACTTACTAGAGATCACACCCCAAATCCACTAACTTCCCCACCCACACTTTTAATCCATTGTGATCCATTTTTGCTCCCAAAGGTCCATCAAAACTGTGCTCACTGAATTTGTTTGCTAAATCCAACACACATTTTTCTATCCTTATTTACTTCATCTCTTGGCGGGATCCTTTTCAGTTTACCAACCAAGTCTTGAAGGCTCTTTTCTTGTTGACCCAAAGTCTCCAAGGGCTTGTTAGAGTTCCTGGCACGAAACAAAATCTCAATTTGATGAAAGAATTAAGATGGAAATACATGGGAGCCAAATGGTGGAGGATTTTACTGCTGAGCTGTGAGGACTTTTACTCTCTAGGCAATGGTAATCTAGAAAAGTCTTTAAGAAGGAAGTAGTATTATCACATCTTTGGGGAAGTGAACTCTGGGGCAATGGGTGGTTTGGAGCAACTGTACTCACTGTGCTGTGTAGCGGTCTCAACATCGGCTGGGAATTCGTTAAATGAAAATTCTTGGGTCCCACCCCTCACCTAGTAAGTCAGAAATTCTGAAGGTGGGTGTGGCCCACTGATGTATGTTTCATGAAACTCAGAATCAGAAAACCACTGGTTTGGAGAAGTGGAGACAAAACAAACGCAAGTTAGCAAAAGCCTGAAATAGTCATGGAAGTGTGGAGAGAAACGGATGAAGGCCATAAGCTTTTCACTTGAGTAGCTACTGACCTTTTAGAGCCAACCCTGATGCTGCCTCAGCAGTCTCTCATTCCCCCAACAGATCCTTGCCCGGCTGGGAGTCACTCAGCAGTAGCGGGGAGGACATGGGCCAAGCCCTGAGCTCAAGTTTACTGTTAGGCTGATCACCGTTCCTGTGAGACCACCTTCTCCAAGACCCTGGGAGACACAAACTGTGAGCACTTTTCGTAATTCATTGGGGACAGTGGAAAACTCTCCAGAGTCACCCCACCTGTCAACGATGAACGCTTACCAGAAAAGCTGACATTTGCATTACCAAAAGGTTTAATCTTTCTAGAATCTCTTGGGTTTCAGCTGCCCCAGTAGGCAATCCATGTAGTCCTGAGGTATACGCATAGTTTAGACATGTGTTGGCTCTCAGCCGTTCACTTTTAGGAACCAATTTTGTAAGATCCCAAAAGTAGGAGGGCACTGGACACGAACACGGACCCAGTGGATGAAGTTAGGTGTGGCAGAGTTCTCAGTTGCATGCTAGAGAAAGCAATTCGTTGACCTAGGATAAAAAGAAATCTATTTAATAGCAGAGATCACCTAGGAGTTTTGGAAATCAGGCAGCAACAAAGGCAATTAATCAACCAGTAGGTTCATGGCCAAATTTACAGAGCAATGGCCCCTCGACACCAGATGCCAGGAGCCCCCACTGGATCTAGATACCAGTTGTTGCCTGTTGACAGACACGGCTGCTCTCAGCAGGGACCCTTCCCTACCCAGGTCATGCGTCATCAGTCAAGGGTGGGGGTGTGCCTGGATGCAAGGGAGGCTGGGGCTGGAATTTTTTGCTTCTAGAGGTGAAGGCAGTCTGTGCCATCTGACCACTGGGATGGGACTCTGATGCAGAGAACCGTGAACAAGCAAACCCCACCGGTTCAACTTGCAAATCATGGAATTTTCAAGATAAATACATCTAAGACATTAGTTCAGATCCCCAAAGTAAAAGCTATTAACCTTTTTATGAATAGAGCACCACATACAAATGATATAAAAATGCACTGTTCTGCCTGCTGCTCTCCCTCAACACTCTGACACCGACCTGCCCACCTGTGAGACACCTGCGGAGTTCCACGCCCCATAGTGACACTGAAAAGTGAAGGAGAGCAAATCATTTTAGAAATAGCTTGGAAATTCCGAAGAAGTCTTGGAAACTGGGCAGGAACAAAGGTGATAAAGCCATGGCAGGCTTATGTTTTACCAGCTGTTTGCTCGGTCTAGCTGAGTGAATTCAGGATTAGGAAAAGGACAAATTTCCCTTAACGTCTCAGAGTACTTTAAACAGAACCACTTCATTTGTGGTCTGTTCTTTCCAGTACTTTTGCCAAACCAGAGTTTCTTGGCCCTCCTTGTCTCTTCTGGAAAACAAAGCGGTATGTGTCTTCCACTGTTAAAACTTGCAGAGACTTCAAGAATGATTAAGATTCTCTTAGCACCCCATTAAATGTTTCAATTCTGAAACATCCCTTATTTTGTATTCTGCCTCTGATCTTTTGTACAACTGTCTCTGTTTCCTAGGTTTACATTTTCTCACTACAAAATTACACAAATTTAAAAATTGTGCATGGAAAAAATTGTGCATAAAATGGTAATTTAGTCTTCAGATTCATAATGCTAATCATAAGTAACCTTGAATATTTTGTTACACTACTATTTTAAAAACTCTTTTAAAAATCAATTAAAAAATTCATAATAGCTTCATCCCTATTAGCCCCAAACTGAAAACAACTCAAATGTTCATCAACAGGTGAATGAATAAACAAATTATAATGCATTCAGGTAGCAATTACTAGTCAGCAAAAAAAGCAGAATAAAGTTCTGACTGTTGTGTTAATAAGAATTTCAAAACCTCCAGCGGAGTGACAAAAGCCAGAGGAGAATGAGCAGATACTGTAGTATAACAGGTGTGGAAAGCTCTAGGGCAGGCAAATGCAAATTACAGTGGCAGGGAACAGTGGGGGTTGGGGGGGGAGGGAAGTGGGGAGTGAGGAGGCTGGAGAGGGGCACAAAGGGTGATGGTGAACAGTGGTTAAAACTCAAACATAAACATCCACGAAGTCACAGGATCTTATTACCTGCCTCTAGACTCTTGGGAGAGAGAATGTTCACTTAAATTTCAAAGGAAGATTCTCATGAGAAATTAAGAAATCATTAGACTCCTTAGGCCTGCAAGACAAAATCCTCTATATGGGTCAACCATTTAAGAAAAATGTTCTCGTAAAAATCCCACTGAAACTAACATTTAACAAAATATTATTTTATTGTTGAAAAATTAAAAATAGTAGACAAGCATAAGTAGTTACTGTTCCAAAGCAGAACAATACAGATATGTAAGTTATTGCAGTTTTAAAAGAAAAGTATAAGCCAAAATAACGTCTATATAAACTTTTTTTGAAACCAACTCTGGTTTTTCCAAATGTCTTAGCACAATTTTGTAAAGTAAATTTCTAACACCAAAGAGAGATTAAGTTCAACGACCACAGTATAATCTACTCGCCTTAAAGCAAGGTTAACACACACAATGTATTGAAAAAGTAGCAATGGCTTTCTACAGAAGTCACTACAGAACACTTTCTAAACTGCCTCTTTTCAAGGTAGAATGAAAATAAATATTCCACACATTCGAAAGAGATAAGAAACATGTATTTACTAAAATTCCCTTTGTTTTATGTGTAGGCGAGGGAAGTTCAACTGACGCTCTTTTTGGGGGGAAGGGGACAGGCAATGCTCATCTCCATGATTTTGCTTCACTCCTGTATCACTCAAATGCAGTAGCATCTTGGTCTCTCATAGACTAAAAAGAATAGGAGAGGAATGTATTACAAAGCAGTTGCTAAAGGAAATCTCAATGCTAGAGACTTGCTACAGTAGGTTCACAACAGCACAACCAAGTTAAGACTACATTGTATAATGAGGGCAACGAGCAGAGGCAGAAGGGAGTGAAAATGCTGACACGCAAGGCCAGCACAGGGATAGAGCTCTATTACCTTGCTATTCAGGGAAGTAAACTCTCCCCGAGCCCACCACCAAAAAGCTTAATTTGGCAAGAATAACCTGTTGAGTTTTATATCTTACTGACTTTCACCACAACCTTTTTCAAATAATTACTTCCACCAACCTGAAGTTAAAAATGCAATTGAACACTGAAGTAAAATCAATTAACTATGCTTTTACAACCATATCTGAACATAAGATAAAGAATTTTTGAAGAGTACTAAACTTCTTAATAAGCACCTAAAAATACTCGGTATCTTACCTTAGCATAAGCAATAACATCTGTCAGTAACTAATTGGCATAAATTAGAGAAATAACACTACAATAGCCATTGAAAAGTTTTCATGTCACATAACCTATTTTTATGTGCACTAACCTGAATCTCCTACTAAGCTGCACAAATTCTTCTTTAAAAGCTCCTACTTAACTTTGGAACATACACATTTTGTATTCCATTTTACAACATTAATAACACAAGATTTCTTCTAAAAAGCCAAAATAAAACCCAAACTGGCAAACATTAACACACAGAGACCCAAAAAAATTAAGTAAGAAAGAAACCCTAGGAAAAAAATTGACAAGACTCAAGAGTTTAAACACCAAGGTAACAGATATAACAAGGAAAGCCTTTAAAGAATACAGTAAAATGAAAAACCCGAGAAATCTCAAGATGTCTGTCAAGATGCCAGCAAAAGAGTATTTTTCTGAAATCACTTTCCAACATGAACTTATTTTAAAAATAATTCTCAAATGTATATAAAAATGGGCACTTTATGGTGAAATGAACATACAACTTGAAAAAGAACATTTCTTTGCCCCAACATCATATATAAGAAGCTACAAAATACTGTTCTGCTGCCTGCATCTATTATCGATGTCTTAAGTATATGACTTTTTAAAAACTAAGACAATTCAGGACATTAAATACTAGGATCAAAGGATGATAAAAGGCCGAGTTCTGAAAACTTTGAGAAGAATCTTGGGTGGTGTCAAAATCACTTTTGACTTCAAACTGACTTTTTAAAAAACTCAATTCAACTTGTTTCATTATGAAATCTAACATAAAAAAAAAATTGACTCCATCCACTTAACCATATAGACTCTGAAATAATAACACTTTGCAATCTCTCTTTTGCCACTTTTTAAACTGAACGTATAGATAAGGTGTTCTTCTAAACTTCCCCAGAAAGCACCAACTATACAGAATAGCCAAGTATGGTAACCAGTATTTGTGGTATTTTATATTCTCTCAAGGTAGAATTCAACTCCGTCTCTTAGCCTTCTTTTAGAATATACAATAATTTCATATTCAATCAAGAAAACTAACACTGGGGCCCTGGCTGGGTAGCTCATTTGGTTAAAGCATTGTCCCAACATGCCATAGTTGTGGGTTCAAACCCATCTCGGCAAATACAAGAATCAATTAGTGAATGCATAAATAAGTGTAACAACAAATTGATACTTCCCTAAAATCAATAAATAAAAAACAACAGAAAATAAGTTTATCAAATATTTGAATAAACCACTGTGCAAAATACACAAGTTTTTTTACTAGAATATTTAGCCAAATAAAGTACTAGTGTGAGTACCAGCACCACAGATTTTTAAGAGCACCTTTCCTTTGAAGAGCTTAAGTAGAAATATCTAAATGGAGTAACTCAAGAGTCCCTGATTAAGAGCTCGGTACATGCATAATCCCATCAAATTTTTCCTAACATTAGTAAAGCTACATATCTGCCAGAGTTCTTTCAGAAAGAAGCACACACTTTCTTTGGCTAACACTGTTGTGTTCGGGGCTGCACCATATGGCTCACGTGCTGGAAATATGCCACTACTGGTATCAAATGCAACACATCCCGAAGGTTTATGAGTCCCAAAGTGATCTAAATAGAAGCACAAATGTGTGCAAGCGCTGGCCTGTAACATCCTTAAGGAGTTATGCCGAAAAAGAGTAAAGTCAAACTTGAAAATGTGACCATAACAACTAAGCACTAAGGTCCTTCCTGGCATCATCCAGAAAAGTCTTCTTCATTAACTTGTCAATTTATGGATTTCGATATTGCACACATTCAATTTAAAGCTTGTCAAACACTAAGGCAATGTATCCCCACTCCTGGATTTTACATTCACTTTGGATGGCTCAAAGAACTGAGAGAAACTGATACCTTTCAAAAGCTCCCTCCAAAAAGCAATTATGTTATACTTTGAAGATGAATGAGATGTCAAGTAATATTCTTGGGCAAATTTAACCTATTTTAGTATTCCAAAAAGTTGTTTTCTACTAGTTTGTGTTCAAGACTAATTTCAATGATGTTGATACATAATTTGGACAGTTCAAGGTTTCTTGAATGTTCATCCAAAGTGGCACACAGAATCATTTTAACTTTTTCAAAGACAGGACAATTCTTTCACAGTACATTTGATTTGAAGATAGATATGACATTTGACTTGCAAGTGAGCCTTGACTTACTCTGCCCAAATTCTAACACATCAAAATGGGATGAAAGTAATGATGAGATAAAAGAGGTTTTTACTTCTGTGGAGACAAACTGACTTACAAAAGCTAGATTAGCATTTTCTTCCTGAACAAACTCAGAATTGCTTTAGCTAGAAAAAAATTATATATTTTCTTGTATATTGGCTTTAAAAAGTTAATTCTTCTTTCATAAGAGTTGTTAGAAGTCAAAGAATTCAACTAGATAGATTTCTACTCCAAAATACATTTATCTTTGGAAAATAAGGTAACAGCTATAGAAGCAGTGTATTAAGAGAATAAAATGCAGTGATATGAAATATGTGTAACAGTCACACATGAAAGTGTAAATATACAGAATCATTCATACACATTTATAAAGAGAATGGAAAGGTACCTAAAATAGCATTTTTATATATAAAATTTTCATATTAAAATATTGCTCATAATAAATAAGGTGGTATTATGAATTTCATTTCCCTCTTTCATTTTTATCTTTAGTAGTTCAGACTAATCTAAGGATTTGTTAAACTTCTATTGTTTTAAAAGGTGAATTACATTAAACTATGTTTAATAAAATCACACTGTAACAGTATATTTAAATAGTCACATGTCATAAAAATTAGGAAGGGCCATTTAGAAATTATGGGAAAGAAGATTCCCAAAATAAGCCAAAATGATCAACCCTACAAGCCTAAAGTGCAATGATCAGCTTTATTTGACAAAGATAAATACTGCCTTTAAGCTTGGCAAATTTCATGAGCCACGCCTTTCTTCAAGTTGCTCAGAGTCCGCATGCCACGCCTTTCTTCAAGTTGCTCAGAGTCCGCATGCCCGGCAGACCAGCGAACGGCAGGGCGCAGGAAGTGAGTGTTCAGTGTAGCTCAGTTGTTTATGGGCAGGTGTGACTTCATTCCCGTCCGTCCCACTTGCAGACACGGTAACTTGGAATAGTTCTTGAGAAGCTGTTCGATGGCAACGTGGCGGACGTGGAGCTCTGAGGCTAAAGAATCTTTTTCTTGCAGTTGGTGCGTTAACACTTCAAAAACTTCTGTAAAAATGTAGAAAGAAGTTCCATTTTTAGGACACAGAAAGCTAACCCTATGATTTATATTTCAAGTACTTTCACTGAAAGCATTGGGTAATGTTTGCTTATGAAAGTGATCTGATACCAAGGAAACAGTGGTGTTTTGATCATTCGAGGGTGTTCTATACTTTGCATAGCCAGCTGCAATATGGAATTCCTTTTCTCCACCAAGTGAAACTTAAGTGTCATAAGCAATGACTATATGGATATGCAGCAGAAATGGCAGTACAACTACCTCTGAGACACTTTTCCCAATTTGGAGTAGAAACAGGTTCGGTCAGTATCTAATATGACTTAGTGCAAGATAAGTGCACGTTAGTGCCTAGGTCTAGAACCCCAAGTGGCTTTGGAATCAGACTACTCGGAATGACAAACCTTGTTGCTACTCTTACAAGTCCCAGACAAAGGAACTTAACTATATTTTAGTTCTCCCTTATGTATTGCCTTCAGGAGAGTAAATGTCACAAGGTTACTGTGAGGGTACAGTAAGTTTATACTTGTAAAGTACTTAACCACAGAGTAAGTACTTGATAAATATATGTTGCTATTACTACTGTTATTATTATTATTTTATTATACCGAGAGGCTCTGTGGTCAAGAAATGCCACTAGCCTTGGCATTAAACCCATAGGGGTTAGAATCTTTAATCTGTTACTGACTAAATAAATGCATGATCTCTGTAAGCACCTTAACTATCTTTGGAGTGTAGTTCCCTCACAGAAATGGGAGTCAATTGTAAAACAAAATAAAATAAGAGACAACTGGGGACTCAGAACACTGTTAACTGTTGGTGTTAGAATCATATTTCATGATGTTAAAAACTACTAGCTGGTATTTTTTTAAAAGATGTTACGAGGTTTAGATTACCTTAAAAAAAAGTTATCTTTCAGAGTAAATCCTGAAGTATTTTTGGACAAAACAATACTTTGTCTGGCATTTGTTTCAAGGTAATCCATGCTGAGCTCGGAGTGGGGGCGAGGGTAATGGGTACAAGTGGGGATGAAGGAAAATTGGCTATGCTTTTTGTAACAGCTGAAGCTGATGAAGGTGGGTCAGGGGATTCACTGTCCTATTCTTACTGCCTTTGTGTCTGAAATGGTTCAAGACCAGGACTAAGACCTGCATTAAAGAACTGTTAGGAAGGCCACCTGCACAGTGCCTGGCACAACAGCAGGGAGTCAATAAAATAGCAGGGAGTCAGTAAGAAGGTAGAGATTAAGATGTAGTCTTCATTTTCACTTAAAAAAAGAAAATCCTATTTCCCCTGCAGTTCATAAGGAAGGTGTTCTCTTATTCTTTATGCTCTGGAAACTCTTAACAGGTTCTAGTCCCATTTACAAATTTAAATGCAGATAAAGCTAATGTTACCCTGTTATAGGGGATTTTCTGTATCAAAATTTTCACATGCAAAAAAAAAAATTGACACCGATTCTTTACCCTGTATTTGCTGTTGGAGCTTTGCATTCAGTTGCTTTACCTCACCAAAAGTCATCGAATTCACTGAAACATGAAAATATATTCATTATTACCACAACAACCTGAGAAAAGAGGCTGCCTCCATCCCTAACACAGTATCTTATTTTTAAAGTATTTGTATTTATCTGCCCACATAACATTCCGCAGTACCCTAGGATTAACTCTTGCAGTGTGGAGTTTTTAAATCCTAACCTCAACCCACAGTAAAAAATATATCTTATATCACCCCCAGTACACTCCCCTGAAACAAGTTTCACTGGAAAGCACTTTATCAGGTCAACTGGATTCTGCTATATCCCATCAAGTCAATTTTGCTTAAACATTACCTAGTTCATCATTCCCAGTTTGGAAAACACTACTATAAAGTACTGAGAACAGTCTGAAAAATCATGTTGTCTACCCAGTTATATAACCTTAGATATGTAGAATCAAGAAGTTTTATAAAAATATACCCATGGTCCCTTCTTGCTCTAAAATTATTTGATTTTAAGTCAATTAAAATTATCTCAGCTTCTGTGAGCTTTTGGAGATGCAAACTGAATGAATCACTTTTCTAACTTTAAATAACACATTACCTTTGGCCTTCAGTAAAATGTCAGATTTTTGTTTTGAAATGCCACTCCCAATTAGTCTTACAGGGATTGGCAATGTGACAACATGTGCAAGCCAATGGTTGAGGCTGGATTTTCACTCTATATGAACCTTGAACTTTTCTGTTCAGTTTGTTGATTCCATTTAGTTTAATAATTTAGAATGGCAAAACAACTCATGGTACTGCAGGAGTCCAATGCTTAGGATGTAGTATGGAGGATTCCAGAGAACTGATGGAGCGTTTTAAGACATCTCATTTTTTATGGGGAGAACCTGTCACTTAAATAGTCTATTTACCAAATCTACAATTTTACAGCAAAATTCTTAAAACACCAAATACATAAGGATGTAAAAAAAAAAAACCAATAAAACTCCGTTTCACCTTTCTCCCATTTTACTTACATTCCTCTCTGCTGTAATGAGGATGCTGGGTCTGGACATCTGCCTCTTCATTAGAGATTGTCTCTTCTTTTTTCTGTGCCTGGTTTTGACTGTGAGACCACAGTCCACTACTGTGGCATAAAGTGGCACCCGAATCCTGTAACACAGCCAGCCCAAAGTCTGTACTTTCTCTCTGCTCCAGTATTCTTTGTGTGCAGTCTGAGAGGCCAGCTGTAGTTCCATCTATCCACTTAGCAGAATACTTTGGTACTTGGGAGTCACACTGTGGGAATAACTTTTTATCTGGGTTATGCCGAAAATTAAACAGTTGATCCTGGGGATTTTTAGAACATTCAGAATCTGAATCTACATCCTTATTTTGTGCATACTGTACAATCCAGTTTATCTTCTTACTCAAAATGGTTTTAACGTCTTCATAATAAGTACTTTTTGAAAGCTTAGATCGAGGACAGTCCTGGTTTGCAATCAAATGATATTTTTCAAAGCAGTCTTTATGGCCCCTTAATGATGTGGTGTGTAAGAGATTAGATTTTGGTATTCCTATAAAAAAATAAAAGAAAAATTTGCTTTTCCAAGTTGCATTAATATACAAACCTTAGTAAAACACAGTCACTGATAGTTTGTAAACTAGAGGAAAAAATGCTAAAGGATATTGGTATTAATAATATAAAATGTGGTCTAATAATTCTGATTCAATTTAACTATATATTCAGTAATATTAAATTCTTACAAATAGTAAAGCCTTTTTAAGGACTTCAGGATTCACCTTTCACTTTAGTCTAGAGGCATGTTACTACATACAATATAAACAAAAACACTACTGAAATAGCAATTTCCATTTACAGAATTTTGGCCTTTACATTACTGTGCTTTCTTCACAATCCTTCTGACTACACTAGCAAAAATTGCTCTTATAGAAATGCTTGATTATTTTTTCCCCTGACAAGAGCACAGTAAATTACGTTCTTCAATTATTAGTTATGTTTTTACTGGGGAAAAACCCCAGAACCAGAAAATATGTATTTTAATAAAAGCTTCAGAAAGTTAATGTACTGTTAAGATAATAAGTATGAATAAAAGCATCTAAAATGTTTTTCACACTTCAGTTTTATACTTACCAAAACTTTATCAAGATAATTTTATCTTCCAGAAAAATGCTTTACACAAAATTATTTTTCATATAGCAGTAAATTCAATCTGACAAGATACAGTAGCCAGAATAATTCTTCAACGCACAAATGTTCATTATACATCATAAATAATGGAAATATTCTCCTTATACTTTTGTATCTCCCATCTTTTTTAGTAGAGCTTAAGTATGGTAAATCAATTGTTTTTTTAAATATAGAATACATTTCAAATGTAAATTTCAGACTACAGAAGGTTCGTACATTTTCACAGGTTAAGCCTTACTGGTCAAGTCAAAGAGCAGTGCGTTTATACTGAAGGTGAACAGGGACGCGGAGCTGAAAGTGAGTGCCTGCCGGAAGCAAGCACTCTAAATCTGCTTAGCTTCAAAAACAGAGTAAGTGGAAAGCCACTCAGGTGCTAGGTTAAAAAAAAAAAAAAGTTTTAGCTGACTCATTAGAAAAAAATACATCCTTTGTTTTAAAAATTGAAGTCATAACCATTTTATTAACTGAGCTCCAAACTCCAACTAATGGTAAGATAATGAAGTACTTGCCCTTTAACGGTAAACCATCTATAAAAGTGCTTGTGAACAACCAAATGGGCTCCCCATCGGTCCTTCACAGGCTGTGTGAGCACACCTCCTGGACACTGATATTATAAGCACATGTGAACAACTGTCCTCGTGAGCTAAATTTTAGTATCTCAGCGTTGTTTCTTCCACTGAACAAAAAAATTGAACTTAAAACAGAGTATCACACACTTTTTAAATACCCCTTTCCTACCTGTGCTGCAATTATGTGTACATACATTTTTAAAAAATCAGTTATTTTATCTGTTTAGGTCCCATTTCCAGCAAAGTTAAAATACTTAAGTGCAAAACCTCGAAGTTCTATTTGATAACCTAGTGTACACCTTTGAAACTAGGTAAATTAACAGAGAAAGTTCACAAACCTTGCTTGTCAGAAAAATATTAACAATTCTGTTATACAGGTTTTAGATCATAAGAAAGACAAACTGTATTTAGTTTGAACTATAAACCAAATAGCTCCATTCTTCTGTTTGATTCTAATTTTGCTCTGGGTACACAGCAGGCAGGTAGAGAGAACTTGAAACCTGCCTGCTTCACTCACTTTGGAAAATGTATTAGAGAGCTTCCCCCTGCACTGTAAACTCTGTTAGGTCTCACGGGCGGGCGAGAGATGACCAGCCAGCCCCACCCCCAGCCCCCACAGTAAACGTCTCATTCTCATTCCATGGCCCCAGTGCTGACCCCTGCAGCAATGATTTATTCAATACTTGAAACTAAAAAGTAAATTAGAAGATTCTCCTCCAAGTAAAAGAAATCTTTTAGCATATAAAAAGGTTCAAAATTAGGCTACACAAAAGTGATTAATGTGGCTGTTAAATTTTAAAAATTTATTTAGAAACTTCAGACATTGTATTAAAAAAATGTACAAAACAATGAATTTCCCTATGTACCCCACAGCTTTAACAACAGGTCAATATAATATATATCTATTTGAAGAATAACGAATTTGAGCTTCTAAAATGTTTTTATTCAGTGTTGCTTCTTAGTAATTCATGTAACACAACTTGCTTCAGAAATAATTTTTCTTTAAACTGTTACTTAAATGCCAAAATGAAAACTAGGAACCCAGCTAGCACATGATAATATGTACACAGTAATCTGTGGAGATGAACAGCAAATCAGAGAACCACTCTATTCAATTTACTGTGAAAAAGAAAATATGCTACTAAAACTTCAGATTCTGATATTCAGGAGAAAAATCCCCTAAAAATGAAACAAACACACAAAAGTGTCACGGGTAAGACTTCTTTTTCTTTAAAGATTTTATTTATTTTTAGAGAGGGAAGGGAAGGAGATAGAGAGAGAGAGAAACATCAATGTGTGATTCCTGGGGGCTGTGGCCTGCAACCCAGGCATGTACCCTGACTGGAATCGAACCTGCGACACTTTGGTTTGCAGCCCGCACTCAATCCACTGAGCTATGCCAGCCAGGGCTAACGGGTAAGACTTCTGATACAGCGTACATTTCGACTTAGACATCTCGTGGGCTTCTCAAACTCACCGTGCCTAAATAAACTCTTTTCATTCTCACTAGTGGATCCCCAAACCCCGATCCTCTTCCTGAGTCTGGCACCACCAGCTGCTTAAGGAAGAAATCTGAGTGCCCACCTTGACAGCTAGCTCTCTCCCCACCTTCCCAGACGTTCTGCTGTCCATCTTAACAGATTCTCCTCTCCCTACCCCCGTAAAATCTAGCAGCACATCTCAAATCCTGCTTCATTTCCACTCCCACTACACTATCTGGGTCATCATCATCTCTGTCTAGTTCTCATTTTCTCTAAGAAACATTTTCTAACCACTGACTAGCTCATCACACTGGATTTTCCAATTGCCTCTTCACTGGCCTTTAGCTCCTGTTAGTAGGTTCTGTGAGAGAGAGGACTGCATCTGTTTTACATGCGTCCTCAACGTCATTGCCTGGCACATAGCAAGTACTCCAGAAAAAAAGAGTGAAATGAATAAAAGTAAAAGAGTAAAATTGAAGTTCTATTCAAACAAACCAAAACTCATTACCAATTATCATTCAAGGACTCCTGCAATGAGTTCTTTTTGCCCATCCTAGCAAGGGAGCCAGGATGCACAATTTTGCCAGCCTGCTCAGGGGTTAATTAAAGCATCTTCCAGTGGACTTACTCCTATATTGAGTTTAATGGGCCATTTGTTTGAAAAACTGATCAGTGGCACTGATACAGACATGCCATTCCTGTGGAATCATTCAATCTGCCAAGCACAGTGAGGAGCTTCTACTCAATTACAAATTTTAACAGAAAATTTACATATACTGACTATTTTAAAAGGGCCATTTTATGTCAACTGTAGCTCATTCATCCAGATCTTTATCTCTTCTTTTAGCGTGCTAAAAATTTAAAACTTGAGCTTTGAAGTTCAATTTAAAAATATTTGTTACATAAACATAGTGTCCAACCTGTGGCCCAGGATGGCTATGAATGTGGCCCAACACAAAATTGTGAATTTACTCAAAACCTTTTTTGAGTTCATCAGTTTTCATCCGTATTCGTGTATTTAATGTGTAGCCGAAGACTTCTCTTTCTTCTTCTGGTGTGGCCCAGAGATGTCAAAAGGTTGGACACCCCTGGTTTAAAATATCCCATGTAGTAGCAAAGGACACAAATAATTAAAAAAAATGTAATACACTGACTACTTCAGATACTTGAACAAACTACCTTTTCATCTAGAAAAGAATGTAAGTAGCCCACTTAATTTATATCTATTATACATGGCATTTGATAAACTCTTGAAGTGATTTTTCCCCCCACCTCTTCAGTTTGAATTAATATGAGAAAAAACAATTGCTATTTTCAGAGATCCCAGTTTCCCAACTGACTTTTCAATTTTAATTGCATTTACAAGTGTAAACAGTTCGAAGCACTAATTTGTTTTCTCAGCAGCTTTTGAAAGGGAATGAATCTAAATGCAATTAAATGAGTTGATAACTTTTGAAGAGTTGAGTTATAAGGAATTTCCAAATCAGTTCAACAATAACTGCCTATAACTTGCTTACTAATAAAAATTTTGAAGGCCAATGTAACTGATATCCTATTATGAAAACTTCTTTCAAATGTACTTCAAAGATGTCCATGTAACTTTTTTTTTTCACGAGGTCATTATTTTTAGAGAACCAACACCTTAACTGGCACCCATAAATGCTAATTTTTTTAAAGTAGTAGTTTCTTTCATCTATTTGTAAATTTTGTTCATGATTACAGTTGTTCTAATTCCCCATGGTCCCCTTCGCCCCAACTCCCCACTTCCCACAGTTGATCCCCACACCGCTGTTCATGTCCACGGGTGATGTACATGTTCTTTGTCTAAACTCTTCACCTTTTTTCAACCAGTCCCAGCCGCCCCCTCCCCTCTTCAAGCTATCAGTCTGTTCCTTGTCTCTGTGCCTCTGATTCTGTTTTGCTCATCAGTTAATTTGGTTCCTTAGGTTCTAATTACATGTGAGCTTGTATAGTATTTGTCTTTAATTGCCTGGCTTACTTCACTTCACCTAATAGTCTCCAGTTCCATCCATGCTGCTGCAAAAGGTACGAATTCCTTTTCTCCTGCTTCATAATATTCCACTGTGTAAACGTAGTCACAGCTTTTTTATCCACTCATCTCCTGATGGATACACAGGCTGTTATCAAATCTTGGCTATTGTAAATAACGCTATGAACATAGGAGTGCATATATTCTTTTGTTTTAGTGTTTTGGGATTCTTTGGATATATTCCCAGTAGTGTCACTGGGTCAAAAGGCAGTTCCATTTTAACTTTGTGAGGAAATTCCACACTGTTTTCCACAGTGGCTGCACC